AGGTATATAATTTGTTGCTGTGCAAAAATCAATCGGCCTAGGGTGATAGTTTTAATGGAGCACACATACACACACACACACACAAATTAAACACTCAGCAAAAACACTTTCCCGCTTGGGCTTTAAACAGAGTCCTGCTACAGCTATGGTGATGTTGTAAAATGTGTAACGTGCAGCTCACACGTTAACATTTCCTCTCTCGCCGTCTGTATTCCCCATGTTTCTCCACCGCCACTGTGCAATAAAATGGCAAAGCATGAACAAGTGAAGCACAAAGGAGGAGCAAATGGAGTAGAAAGGAGTCTGGTGCATAAATTATCACTTTGCCAGACGAGTCAAAACAAACTTGCACAGAAGGAAGCCGGAGTGAATGGCGACATTGTTCGGCGACACGTGGCCCACTTTTCCCTACCTCTTCCTCCTTCCTCCATCCTGTCTGCCCCTAGCCATCATCACTTCCCTCTGTCTTCAGCTTCCTTCTTCCCCCTCTCCTCTTTTCTCCAAACAGTCCACGCAGCTAGAACATTGTTTTCGTCTTTGTAGCAGCGCGGGCAAATGGCCACCCTGAAGTCCGACTATTTTTATCCCGGTGTGTTACTGAGGCAGCAGGAAAGCAAAAGTGGCTGTTCATCGTTCAAACTTGAGCCTCTTGGCGATTCCTTACTTTTTAATTATTTTCGTCTACACTGCTGTCGTTTCTTTAACGCTTACAAGTTTCCACACAGTTTCCACTGATCCTATCATAGGAATTGGTAATGTAGTGTGTTACCACTGGAATCCATGCTGTGTAATCCTTGTAGGTGGCCTCTGTGACCTACTTACACACAGAGCTCCTACTGTGAAATTGGCTTCCTCCCATCTTATTACATGTAATATGGTTGTGTTGATATGCACTGATGTTCCTAATAGCATTTAGTAACTGTAGAGAATTTCCTCTTTGTACTCTAACGTTTGCTTCTTTCATTCCGCACTGCTTGTAATTGCATTACATTTTTCTCAGCTCTTTATGGACACAAATCTGCAACTCACAGTCACGATGTTGCATTTTGAATCAGATCTGAGATCAGTCAAACTGAAGTCAAGTCAGGTTAAAATAAAGCTGTTGACGCGTGACTCAGTCTTTTAACGAGTACAATCTTTGACCAAACTTCCCTCCTGCATCTCTCCGTCTCATCAGTTCCCTCTGCAGAGATATTTACAGTAGCAGTGATTAAGGGGACTTTTTGTTGTAACACAAGGGCCCTGACCTACTTGTGTATGTAGCTTATGTTTTTCCGGTGCTCTATCTACCATTTGATCTGCCCAAGCCTGCAGCCACGACACAGCTCCCTGAGAGAGGAATAGTACTATGACCTACACACACACACACACATACACACACTCACTCACCCCGCTCTCATACTGTCACATCTCGTTGTGCTCTGTTCTGCAGGCAGAGACATCGTGTCTCTCACAGTAGTGGTGGTGATGATGGTGTGTGAACCGTCTGGAGGGGTGTAATTAAACTTTTAAAGACCACAAAACAATGAGTCTGTGTGCCTGTTCACAGACTGTATATAAAGATGGACGATGCATCCGCAATGGGAGTATTGTTGGCACTCTCCAGAACTTTTAGTCCCAGGAGCATTTTTTCTTGCAGACTGTTGTTCACCTGTGTTTCCACCACGCTCTAAAGACCAGGGGAGATTAGGTAAACCACGGTTCCAGCAAACTGTTTAACTCCTGTCCACCAGGAGGCAGTAATGCAGAACACTATACAGCAATAATGAGGCTATTCATAACCTTTATCATTACAGGACCACAGTTTCCAATTCCCTCTCAATATCAGCAAAGTGCCCCGACTTTCTTTAACGACTCAATCATGATGATGCATTGAAGAACAATAGAAACAACTGCATAAGCAGAAATAAAATGCTTGAGTACTCAACCAATCAGGTATTTTTAGTGCTGCTAGCCCCACCCCAAATGTTCTGGGTACTTACTTATAGTACAACCCCAGAGCAGGGATTTTTTTAAGGGGTAAAAAAGATTTCCCCGGATCTTTTGACCCTGGTACCTGAGGTGGAAACACAAAGAGTTCCTCGAAAGGTTCCTAGCACCGAGGGGGTGGTGGACGGTGGTGGACGGTGGTGTTAAACATGTTACTGCACTGCAGCTGCTGCAGTATCATATGTCAAACACCTAAACAGAGATGCAGATGTGTTTTGTATGATCGCCACAAAGATTTGCAGTGAAGCAAATCTGTTACTTCCAGATCGCTGTGTGCACTGCTTTGTTTAGACGCCTGCAGTGTTAGGAAGTGACTGGTAGCTGTCTTTTAGTCTGGGTCACATCTGTGGCCAACAGTGAAAACCCCCTCCAGACTCCAGACTAGTTCAGTAAGTCCATCTTTGTTTTGGAAATCCTCCCCAGTGATTCCCCGCTTTCTTTGTGTCTCCTCTCTGAAGCTTGTCTTCCGGCCTTTTTCAACATCCCTCCCTCCTCTCCCTCCTCTCCCTCACTCTTTTGCGCAGCTTCACTCAGCTGCTCCCTCTTCTCAACATGCTTCTTAGCCTCTTACCTTCCTTCCTCTTGGCGTTCCCTTCCCCCCCCTGCAGATTTGAGTCTCAGCTCACTTTCACGTAAGCCGCATTAAACTAGTATCACTTATTCTTTCCAGTACATTGAAGAGCAATTAAAAGTGATATAGAGCCAAGTTGGTATTTCTCTTTTATTTCTTTTCTGCTCCTGATTGATTGTGGACATTTCAGCAAATCAAATTTTTTCCATCTCTATATATATATATATATATAGACGCCATCACTGGAAGTCTATCTTTCTTTCTACCATGTAGCAGCACATAGAGCCCACATGTTCTGCTGATCAGTCTTTGTGTGAGACTGTGTAAATCAGATAGCTTCAATATGTCTGCAGCGTAAGCATGTGTGTGTTTCGGTGTAGTTCACCTTTTTGTGTGTGTCGTTTTTGTCCCAATGTTGCTGAAAAGTCTAACTCATCTTTTGTGTGTATGTTTTTGCACATTTTTGTCTGTCTGGCTTCTAACAGTAGATCAACGTCTCTGTGTGTGTTTTAATCTGCTGACAGTAAGTCTGTCTGTCACCTCCAGTCTCTATCTCACACATACAGACTGTCCTGCTCTGAATTAAATCCTTATAACACACACACACACACACACACACACACACACAAGCTCAGACTTATTAAAGATCATTTTAGAATTCTTTAATCCTAGTGTGTGTGTGAGAGTCAGGTGTGTATAACAGCGGCAATGTGTGTGATGCCGAGTGAGTTCACGACAAAAAAAAAGCTACCATTTGGTTTATGTGACACACAAATGTGCACACACAGCATGCTGTCTGTGAGGCTACATGACTTTGAGATAGAGAGAGCGTGTGTGATGGAGTAGGGGGCAGTCGGGCAGGTGCAGAGACAGCTGGTGTGGGCTACTCTAACCAAGGGGGAGGACGAGAGCGAGAGAGAGATTCCAAGAGAATGACATGAATATAGGGGAGCGGTTGAGCTGCAGAAGAGGGGTAAATGAGTGTTTGTACAAGTGTGTGTGTGTGTTGTTGCCAGTGGTGAAGCGCTTTGATGGAACACACTGAGCTAGTGTGTGTGTGTGAGACGGCTGGAGAAATGGAGAACGTGTGGCAGACTATTAAACCACTTTTAATACGGCAACAGATTAATCAGACAAAGAACTGATCGCATGAAGAGAAGGTCTGAGGAGGAGGAAGGAAGGAAAGAGGCATAAAGAAAGAAAGAAATGAGTATCAGCATACTTCAGTGATCGCTTTAATAAACAGTATCAATTCAATAAGCTTTTATATAAGGAGTCATCTTATTAGTCACAATAATTGCTTGGCTTGAATGTTAAGTCTTTTTTCTTCATTTGCTGTGGCTTTTGCTGCTTGAATGGGAATTACACAAGAACTTTGAAAGGCTCAACTTATCGTCTTATTTTCTGCCCAGCTCTAAAAACGTGTGATGATAGAACTGAGCAGATTTTCCCCTTTAGAGCACGCTTTCACCTGAGACAGTAGACAACCAGCAACATATATATATATATATATATTCACCTGGTGTCAAAAACAAGCACCAGTGGCTGGAAATATCAGTACCACCCTTCCAACCACCACAATTGGCTGTTTGTACATTTTGACAGAGCCAAGCTAGCCAGCTGCATCCGCCAGTCTTATGTCAATATGCTAAGCTAACCTGCTGCTTCACATTGGCTACACAAGGTGGAATGAAGGTTTCTTTCTTTGTGCAGACCAGGCATTTTCATATTATTATATTCAGCTCATTTTTGCACTAACCAGATATATATTGTATTTGGCTTGTTATTTTCAAACATGAATTAAAAACCCACCTATTCAGTCTGGCTTTTATTTAGTGTCTTATAATTTAATGGTTTTATTATTTAGGTTTATATTTTATCATTATTATAAATCTTCTATAATGTTTTACATCAGTTCTAGTGCTGATTATCTATTTTATTGCCTTAACTCTCTTTTATTGTTGTCCTTTTTATTCTCAATCTGAATGTTTGTAACTCATTCTTTACATCCTGTGTTTTACCAATCCCTTGTAACACCTCTATAAGGTTCTATATGAACAAAGTTTGATCTTTTCTCCGTGTCCTTGATGAATATTCCTTGTTAGTGACAGATGAAGGTCTACCTGCCTGTCTTTGTCTCCTCTGTTATGTTCTGTACAACATCTGGGGGTAGGACACCGCCCTCTAGTGTTCACAGAAGGACATACACCAGCCAGTGTAATACGTCATAGACAGACATGCCAGTGCTGATCTATTTGCAGGCGACCACATAACATAAACACAGGGGCTAAGAATAGAGCGGATGAGGAGACTTTCTTTCCGTGAAGGAGCTTCTTACGGAGAACCCTCGCTTTTGATTTCTCAGGAACCGTGTTAACCAACCACTGTCTGTTTGTTTTCTCTACATGCGCTCACGTGTCTTCTCCTCTTCCCGTTTCAGGAGGAGGCCATCCCAGAGCTGGAGATAGATGTGGACGAGCTGCTGGATATGCCCAGTGACATTGAGCGGGCAGCCAGGGTCAAGGTAGGACATGCTTACATACATATATAGACGTGAACTCCGAAAATGTCCAGACCCAATTTGTGTGTACCTTTTACATATGTCTGGGTCAGACATGTAAAAAAAGGGGGGAACATTCGGGTGAGGGGCGGTGCCTGGATAGAATATGCAGGAGACAGGATATGATCCATAAATTCCACTTCAGAAATCACACATTTTTGTTTACAGCACATCAACACCGGCCTCATTTTCTCAAATGGTTCATTGTCAGGACATACAGCCCCTCCAGAAACTTTCAGGAAAATGTCCAGACTTCAGTGCATGTCTGAAAGCATCATTTCATACTGTCTCTTTGTTTTACAGGACTTGCTGGTTGACTGTTTTAAACCTACTGAGGTAACAAATCTCTCTTCTTTCCTTCTGTCTTTCTGCGACAAAATCTATGTTTTAGTTTCTGACTCATGAGCTTTGTCCCTCCTGTCTCCCGTAGGACTTCGTCACAGAGCTGCTGGACAAGATCCGAGGGATGCAGAAGCTCTCAACGCCACAGAAGAAATGATGGCGTCCATCTTCCTCCCCGGCATCCTCCAGCTTCCACATCAGCCCTCACCTCTCGTCTTTCTATCGCTCCCCATTCTTTTTGTATTCTAACGTCAATTTTCTTCCATTGAGGATGTCTTTTTTTCCTCTTGTCGTTAGGCCCTCTGTTCTAAACCCCAGTCTTGATTTTTTCCCCTCTTCATCTCATCCTCTTCTCTCTTGTTGCCTGGATCCAGTCCCATTAGTCACTTTTATTTCAAAATGTTCTGACATCCCCTGCTTACTTGATGAACTTCCTCCTTAAAATACCATCAGCAAAGAAAGAAAGAGCTCAGAATTGATCGGCAGACGACAACAATCAAATTCATCGGATAGGATACAAGGAGCTCTCCTTTCCTTCTTCACCCTTTATTTGGCTTTGCCTCTCCCTCATCCAGCTCCTCCATCTGTCGGAGGAGAAAGAGGAGGGGAGCCGAGAAGAATCCCATAATTACTGGGAGTGGAGCGGCCGAGAGTGGAAAGAGCCAGAGTTGACAGCAGCCAAGAAACGAGCGGATGGCTGAACGATGGAGGAGGATGAGGGTTCAAAGGAGGAAGCAGCCAATCGTCTCAACTAATGAGATTCCCTTATTTTAATGTAAGAGATTTGAAAGTTGAATACGATCCAGCCACCAACCCTAATTCTTACGCTGCTTTCTTTTTCATTGTGAGGGCGTGGAGCTAATATTCACTTGACTGTAGGTTTTAACTTCTGTGGGGTCAGTACAGCTCATTTTCCACCTTGAATCAAAGGCATTTGCTACAGTGGTGCATTTAAAGACTTTTTTTTTTTCGTGTGTGTCTGTTGAATAAACTGCACTATGTCATTTCGGGAGGAAAATCTGAACCTCTGACCACAAGGAGTATTGTACGGTGTATTTTTAGTCCAGCGAAGAGGCCAATTTGATCCTGGGAACGATGGGTGAACCCAAAAGAAAGTCACTGGTTGGCTGCGTTGGTCATCTAAAAATAAGTCTTTTTAGGAGTAGATTCTTTTGGGTTGGGCGTGTTTGACTAGATTTCAAATTGTTTCCTTAGATCCGTAGGTCTGTACAAAGGTGGCGATTTAGAAGCCTAGTGTGTGTGAGGCCTGCACATACACGTGTACGTCTGTGTGTTAAAATACTACGTGTGTGTGTGTGTTGCTACATAATGTACAGCAACATTCATGTAAGGGGTTTTTCCTGGCCTGTATATTCTGCTGCTCTGTACGACTAATCAGAACTAAGAGGACTGGTTCCTGTTTTATTTTTTTTTGTTGCACACACGCTCACACTGACAGTCCGACAGGGGGACCTGAAACAAAGCTGCCTTGTGTTTTTTTCTCTCTTTTTTCCTAATGACCCCTCCCCTCCTCTCTCTGTTTCTCACTGCCCCCCCACCTTCTTCTAAGAAATCATATAGTCCACCGCATTGTTTTGTGTTGGGCGGACGTCACGTTGGAGCGGTCACGTGTCTTTTGCGGAGCCTTTTTGTCCACCTGTCACATCAGTGGAGCCACCAACAAGATGTGGGAAGAGGAGCAATGGAGGCCGCTGTTTGGAATTTGAAGCCGTCTGAATGCATTCATCCCTCTTTTCTTCTGTTTTTCTTCCCCATGCACTCACACAGACACACACAGGCCACCCTTGGGGGCAGAGGAGACGCATTAACAAACACAGCTGCCTCTTACACAGATGTGAACACACACAAACACTGAGTGCAGAGTAAAAGGACAGGAGTTGGAGAGCGAGTGGTCCTTAGCTGACACCAGATCTGCGTTTCCATGCCGCAACTGCCAATAGAATAAGCCATCTGTTTCCCATCCTGAGCCAATCAGAGTGGAGACCGAAGCCCAGCGGCCAATAGGAGGAGCGGTGACATTCACCGATACCCATTGCTAACACCTGCAGTGACAGCAGACATCTGCTGTCTGCCTCTTTCTCTCTCAGTACCCACACACACACACA